CACTACACACACTCTGCTTTCACTAGAGATACTGCATCCACTCTGTGCACGCATTCTACATCCACTACATAGAAACATAGAATGTGACGGCAGATAAGACCCATTCGGCCCATCTAGTCTGCCCAATTTTCTAAATACTTTCGTTAGTCCCTGGCCTTATCTTATATCTAGTAGAGCCTTATGCCTATCCCACGCATGCTTAACTCCCTGTGTTAACCTCTTCTTCTTCAACTCGAAGGCAATTCCATGCGTCCACTACCCTCTCAGTAAAGTAATACTTCCTGATATTATTTTGAAACCTTTGCCCCTCTAATTTAAAGACTATGTCCTCTTGTTGTGGCAGTTTTTCTTCTTTTAAATATAGTCTCCTCCTTTGCTGTGTTGATTCCCTTTATGTATTTAAATGTTTCTATCATATCCCCCCTGTCTCGTCTTTCTTCCAAGCTATACATGTTCCTTTAACCTTTCCTGGTAAGTTTTATCCTGCAATCCATGAACCAGTTTAGTAGCCCTTCTCTGAACTCTCTCTAAAGTATCAATATCCTTCCGATGATACGGTCTCCAGTACTACGTACAATACGCCAAGTGAGGTCTCACCAGTGTTCCACACACACTACATCCACTCTACACACACACACACACACTGTATCCCCTACACACACTGCATACACTCTACACACACACACACTCTGCATTCACTAGACATACTGCATCCACTCTGCGCACGCACTCTACATCCACTACATAGAAACATAGAATATGACAGCAGATAAGACCCATTCAGCCCATCTAGTCTGCCCAATTTTCTAAATACTTTCATTAGTCCCTGGCCTTATCTTATATCTAGGAGAGCCTTATGCCTATCCCACGCATGCTTAAACTCCCTGTGTTAACCTCTACTACTTCAACTCAAAGGCAATTCCATGCGTCCACTACCCTCTCTGTAATGTAATACTACTTGAAATTATTTGTAAACCTTTGCATCCACTCTACACACATACACACTCTGCATCCACTACACACACTCTGAATCCACTACACACACACACTCTGCATCCACTACACACACTGCATCTACTACGCACACTGCATCCACTCTACACACACACTCTGCATCCACTACACACACTCTGCATCCAGTACACATACACTGCATCTACTACACACACTGCATCCACTTTGCATACACTGCACACACTCTGCATCCACTCCACACACACACACTGTATCCACTTTACACACACTGCATCTACTACACACACACACTGCATCCACTACACACACTCTGCTTTCACTAGAGATACTGCATCCACTCTGTGCACGCATTCTACATCCACTACATAGAAACATAGAATGTGACGGCAGATAAGACCCATTCGGCCCATCTAGTCTGCCCAATTTTCTAAATACTTTCGTTAGTCCCTGGCCTTATCTTATATCTAGTAGAGCCTTATGCCTATCCCACGCATGCTTAACTCCCTGTGTTAACCTCTTCTTCTTCAACTCGAAGGCAATTCCATGCGTCCACTACCCTCTCAGTAAAGTAATACTTCCTGATATTATTTTGAAACCTTTGCCCCTCTAATTTAAAGACTATGTCCTCTTGTTGTGGCAGTTTTTCTTCTTTTAAATATAGTCTCCTCCTTTGCTGTGTTGATTCCCTTTATGTATTTAAATGTTTCTATCATATCCCCCCTGTCTCGTCTTTCCTCCAAGCTATACATGTTCCTTTAACCTTTCCTGGTAAGTTTTATCCTGCAATCCATGAACCAGTTTAGTAGCCCTTCTCTGAACTCTCTCTAAAGTATCAATATCCTTCCGATGATACGGTCTCCAGTACTACGTACAATACGCCAAGTGAGGTCTCACCAGTGTTCCACACACACTACATCCACTCTACACACACACACACACACTGTATCCCCTACACACACTGCATACACTCTACACACACACACACTCTGCATTCACTAGACATACTGCATCCACTCTGCGCACGCACTCTACATCCACTACATAGAAACATAGAATATGACAGCAGATAAGACCCATTCAGCCCATCTAGTCTGCCCAATTTTCTAAATACTTTCATTAGTCCCTGGCCTTATCTTATATCTAGGAGAGCCTTATGCCTATCCCACGCATGCTTAAACTCCCTGTGTTAACCTCTACTACTTCAACTCAAAGGCAATTCCATGCGTCCACTACCCTCTCTGTAATGTAATACTACTTGAAATTATTTGTAAACCTTTGCATCCACTCTACACACATACACACTCTGCATCCACTACACACACTCTGAATCCACTACACACACACACACACTCTGCATCCACTACACACACACTGCATCTACTACGCACACTGCATCCACTCTACACACACACTCTGCATCCACTACACACACTCTGCATCCAGTACACATACACTGCATCTACTACACACACTGCATCCACTCTACATACACACACACACACTCTGCATCCACTACACACACTCTGCATCCACTCTACACACACACTGTATCTACTACACACTATATCTACTATACACACTCTGCATCCACTGTACAAACACACTCAATCTACTTTAAACACCTACACAAAAACACTGCAACCATTATACACACACTGTATTCATTGTACTCAAAACACTAACACTAGACATAGGTCCCTGAGGTTTCAAGTTGGGCTCCTGTTCCTCAACTTTATTTAGATTCAGGCCTCCTAAAATCCAAGTAAAATTTGAGGGGGAAAAAGGGTATTACTTACTTTTTTCCAGCTCTGAGTCCCTGCAGTAGCTCGTCCTGCCTCCCACAACCTCACACTATCACATCTTACAATCCAATCCAATGCTCCTTGTAGAAGAAAATTGGTGCCTTAAAGTTCATGCATGACAACTGTGCGTTTCTATTGGAAGGTAGCTAAAAGACTCAATATTGACTCTATGTTCACTAGTGCCTCTAGTGGGTGTCAGGTAGTCTGCCACCCAGTGACAAGAAAAAAGAAAAAACCCAAAAGGTACAAAATAATGTGAATCACCAAAAAGTGATAATATGTAAATAAATACAAACTGAATTATGTTGATATATTTAGATGCGAAAATGTATCTGTAAAAAATATACAAATATATAGTGTAATATTGTTAAAGACCACTTGAAAATATGAGAGGTAGAAAACTCACAAAGATAAGATGAAATCAGGCATATCTCCCTCTGTGTTAAGGGACTGAAGAATATGAAGGACCTCCAGCGATGAATCCAAATATATGATAGCAGCAAATGTAATTCACTCCAAATAGATAAAAGAGGAAAATAAATAGTGCAGATTGTATAAAAAGTAACAATTTATTACATGTATTGCACTTACAATGTATCAGAATAAAAGCAGCTTGTCTCCACACTAGGTGGTATTCATATGCCGCAGCTGAACTAATCAAGATACAGGATACAGGATCTGGAACAGTGATAGCAGCACCAAACAATAAGAAGTAAAAGTTCAATACAAAAACAAAATAAAAACAATTCCAACGCGTTTCGTCCTTCTCTGGACTTCCTCAGGGATGTGTAGCTGTGATGGGATTGAGAATCTTCTTAAATATCCGTCTTCTAATCACTCAAATGTTCGCTGGTGTTGGTGTGCGTTCCACCGTGGAACGCATGTTACGTCCGCGTGACGTCACTTCCGGTTTCGCGGATAGAGTGAAACCACAGTATGTATCGATAGTGACAGCTCGAATGGCACTTACAACATAGAATTTACAGATAAAACCAGTGAAATTTATAATATTCATCTACAAAAAGCACATCTACAAAAAGCAGAAATTTATAGATGTAAGCATATAAGTTACCAGAAATTGGGCATATCCACATTGATATATATTTGTGTATCTCTCAAATATATATGATATAATATACCTTCTACCAATATATGAATATATGAATTTAATTAGCTAGAATAATAATAATAATAGTCTGCCACCCAGGGCCACTTTCAGGGGGTGACAACCATGATGGTTGTCACGGGCCCAGCGGCCCTGGGGGGCCCGGCCGCCCGGGCCACACGAGGAGCTGCGAAACTGCCGCAGATGCATCTGCACCAGGGCCAATCAGGTGGCCCAAGCATTTAGGACCACCTGATGAGCCCTATATCTTCAGGGGCCCGGTCAGCGCTGTAATAGTGCGATCGGGCCCCTTTAAAAAAAATTGCAGCTGCACCGCAAGTGCTGCTGGGAGGAAGTGACAGCTGGTCACTTCCTCCCAGCTTACTCCGCGCGGGGGGATAGTCAGCCGAGGAGAGGAGAGGCATCTGCTCCCATCATCCCCAGCCACCTTCCTGCAACGAAAAGGTAAGGAAGAGGAGGGTGGCTGATAAATGAGGTGTGTGTGTATATGTATGTGTATGTCAGTATGTATGTATATATCTATCAGTATGCATGTCTATATGTGTGTATGTGTATGTCAGTATGTATGTCTGTGTGTGTCAGTATGTATATATGTCTGTATGTGTATGTCAGTATGTATATATCTATCAGTATGTATGTGTGTATGTATGTCTGTCTGTGTGTGTCAGTATGTATATATGTCTGTATGTGTATGTCAGTATGTATATATCTATCAGTATGTATGTGTGCATGTGTGTGTGTGTTTGTGTATGTCAGTATGTATGTATGTATATATCTATCAGTATGTCTGTGTGTGTGTATGTGTGCATTTGTCTATCTGTATGTGTGTGTGTGTGTATGTCAGTATGTATATATGTCAGTATGTATGTGTGTGTGTGTCAGTATGTATATATGTCAGTATATATGTCTGTGTGTGTATGTGAGTATGTATGTCTGTGTGTGTGTGTCAGTATGTATATATGTGTGTGTGCATGTATGTCTGTGTGTATGTATGTGTCTATCTATCTGTGTGTGTGTGTATGTCAGTATGTATGTCTGTGTGTGTATGTCAGTATGTATGTGTCTATCTGTGTGTGTGTGTGTATGTCAGTATATATGTCTATGTCAGTATGTATGTATATATCTGTGTATGTATGTCAGTATGTTTGTATATATCTATGTGTATGTATGTCAGTATGCATGTATGACTGTCTGTGTGTGTATGTCAGTATGTATGTATCTGTGTATGTATATATCTATATGTATGTTTGTGTGTGTATGTCTGTATGTATGTATATCAGTATGTATGTGTATGTATGCCATTATGTATGTATGTATGTCAGTATGTATTTATGTGTATGTATGTATGTCTGTATGTCAGTTTGTATGTATGTATGTACGTCAGTGTGTGTGTCTGTATGTCAGCATGTGTGTGTGTGTATCTGTATGTCCCTATGTATGTGTCTGTATATGTGTGTGTGTTTCAGTATGTGTGTGTGTTCGTATGTGTATATCTTTCTGTGTGTGTGTCTGTGTCCTCTTGTGTCTGTGTGTGTGTATTCCTGTGGGCGGGATTTGGAGGCGGGCACCTGGGGGGCCCAGACCTTGAGCTGTGGTAGGGGCCCCACAATTTCTTATGGCGGCCCTGCTGCCACCAGAGGTGTATTTAACCCTGTAATGTACGCATTACCGTATATACTAAACTGCAATGTGTGACAATGCAGGGTTAAAAATAAAGGAACACGGCATCCAGACCACTTGGTGCATTTAATGGTCCTTTAATTGTTAGGGTGTATATGTGTGTATATATAATTGTTCCTTATATATATAATTATAGATAATAGTACATATATAATTATTATTACATTTTTTTCTTCATGTTTTCATTTGTTTTGCATTATGGTATAACTAGGGATTGATGCCATAAGCTCTATGCAGTAAGGAAACATTAAATAAGAGCAGACGCATTCCACTCTTTTAAAATATTTCAATATATTATAATACCTCTCAGGGCACTTCCCATGCATACACCAGCGTTTCTGTAAGTCAAAGCATATTTGAATTACCTGAGTCTTCCAATTTCAGAACATGGTTTTTGTTTCAGCTCTCATCTGTTTCAAGAAATTCTTCTTCCAAGAAATGTATTAAGTGCCTTAAGATATTTGAATTTTTTTTCTATCATAACTCCCCCTCTCTTCTCTCTTGTCCAAGTTGTACATATAATACCAACTCTTGGAGGTTCCAGTTATTTTCTGACATCCCGAGTAAATGTGATCACTATAACCATAATATATTATTTCTCCGGGGTATAAATTCTTTAGTGAATTTCAACACTAAGAGGAGCTAGCAGGGGGCCCTCAACCTCATTTTACAGTTGAAATATACAGCTAGTGCTCTCTACCTTACAAATAAAATCTAATGTTGTCAATTGTAGTGAAAGTAGAATGAATTTCTTATCTTTTCACAGGCTCTTGTATTTAATTATAATATTTATCTCATTATAAATCATGTTGTTTTATGGAGTTATTAACCCAGACAAGGCAATAGGTTCAGACAAGTCAAGAGATTTAGACAAGGCAATAGTTTTGTCTTGTTAATTGTGGTATCTCTATCTGTTTTGCTTGGTCTACCGTATGTTTTGCACGGACCATGCAGCGTATTTAGGACAATACCGTGTATCAGATGTTTTAGTAAGCTCTAAACTGACTTTATTGGAACCACTGGTGGTAAGAGATCTATTGTGTGACCTCTTTTTATTTTCAGGTTTAACTAAATTACATTTAAGAGGGTTTTAAACACAGGTGAGATCATGGTTAGTTGATATCTTGTGGGTCATTGGCATGGTGCTAGGTTAAAATCTCCCATTATAGAGAGCCAGGCTCCTTAAAAAAAGGTTTATTGTAAAGGAATACTCAGGGCACCTTGATAATTTTATTGCAATAAAGTTGTTATGGTGTCAGGAGGTCCCTGGTGCCAGTTTACATTTAGGGACTAAAACTATCCATCCATGGCTTGATCACTTTTCCTCCTGTCATTACGCTATTACACTGCTAGTTGAGAGAATCAGCTGACACTCTAAGCCACTCGAATGTAGTTGTTTTGGTACCCAGAGTGTTCTTTTAAGAGACAATTAATTTACGGAACACATGTGGGTTGGTCACTAAAGGAGCAATTTTTGGGGACTCAAACTGAATTTCAAAACTGACAACAAAGCTGACTTGGAGTTGGATGTTTTAAATCCAGTTGTGTTTTCCTGCAGTTTGAATTCTATTCATGATTTATCAAATAAACCTGTTAAGGTTCAGTGTGCTTTGGTCATACAGAAAGTACATATTAGAGAAATGACCTGAAACTGGTTATCCTGGACCCATTTTGTACATCCTTCGCATTGGTCTTGCTCTCCACCTGTAAGATGACATTGTGAATACACAGATGCATTGTCTATAGGAGTTGTGAGGGTTGTTCCTTTATACATATACACACTTGCTTTAAGTACTGCTTTCTTTTGTGAAGCCATGAAAGGCAAATTAGAAATGTAACATTGGTGAGTAAAATCTTAGCCTTGATTTGTGTATTATGTTATGAGGCTCCTCTGTATAGCCACAATGGTGATACCTGCCAGGGCCGCCACCAGAAATTTTGGGGCCCCTAACTCAGCTCAGGGTCTGGGCCCCCTGGGGCCCGCCTCCAAATACCGCCCACTGGGTCCGCCTCCAAATACCGCCCACAGGAATACACACACAGACACAAGCACACACACTGATACAAAAGGACACAGATACATACTAACAGAAACACATACTGAAACAGACATACACACATACAAAAAAAAATGTATATTAACAGTAAATATAAAATAAAATAAAATATAAATAGTAATAACACTTATTCGGCTATAGTCCAATAGAAAGTTCTATGTGCTCAATGTTCCTCCAGTGGACTATAGCCAAATAAGTGTTACTATTTATATTTTATTTTATATTTACTGTTAATATACATTTTTTTTTGTATGTGTGTATGTCTGTTTCAGTATGTGTTTCTGTTAGTATGTATCTGTGTCCTTTTGTATCAGTGTGTGTGTTTGTGTCTGTGTGTGTATTCCTGTGGACGGAATTTATTTTTACCTGCTTTAACAAAGAAGGAATGTGGTCCTTAACCACATACACCTAATAAAATGAGCCGACCTACTGGCTCTGGGTTTGTGAGTACATACGTGTTATTTCATAATATATACCCAGTTTATCTACTGTACTATGCTATATATTTTCCTCCTATACCTACTATCTAAGACATAACCCCTGGAGAAATTTGGATCCTAAGGATGAGGGTCGCCTCAACGGACCCTAAGGTGCATGTACCTGGGCTAGTGTTTTAGCTCAGAAATGTGTGAGTTAGCAATTTGCACATCTACTTTTTTTTGTTTCAGTCGTTGTATACAGGTTGCACTACGTTCTGTATATTTATGTTTCCTATTTAAGGTTCATTTTAAAGTGTTGGGACTACATAGAAGTGTACACGATTTCTTAAGGTATATCCTGTTTTAAATTATACACTATCATATCCACTGTAACTAATTAGAGCGCTACACCTGAAACTTCTTCTGTCCACAATTTAAAAAGAGAACATGAACAGCCTGAGTTCCTCTCAGAAAGACATTTTCCCGTTATTAGATTTGTACGTGAGAGAGATCACAAGTAAGCCCCTCTCTCATTTTCCTCATATATGTAGATGTACAAGTACAGCTAATAAAGATATATGTGTTAGTTGTAGTTAATGTATTTATCTCCTAACCACTTTGATTAACTTCCAGGTCACGTAACACATGATTAGAACTCTATCAACACTTTATGCTAGTCCAATTTCTTGCTAATGTACAACTAAAAATGTATTGACATTTTTTTTTCTGACTTTCTTAGTCTTCTTTGCTATGTTTAGTTAAAAAATTTTTTTACAAATATGGTGTGTATAAATCTTTAGCGGACAGGCCGGCTGTGTATGGCACTGCCCTGTCCATTACAGGAAGAACTGTTAGCCTTGGCTAGTAGTATCTGACTTTAATAGGGCTTCGAATTTTTACGCTGGTATACAGTAGCAAGGTTCTGTTATACCTCACTGTGCGCCACATCACAGGGCACGTGCATTGAAAACCTGCTTCCTTTTCTTCATTAACCACTCCATATAAACAATGCACAGGCAACAAAGACAGTATAATGGCGCTTTGCGGGACTTCCACCGCTGTCTTTTTTGATTTACAGTAGTTCCATTAATAGGTTGGGAGAAAGGACATGCATTCTGTCTGGCTGTTAGCTCCTTCACAAATATGCAAAATATATAAATATGACAGTGTTTAAAAAAGTTATAATACTATTATTATATAATAAAAGTAGTAATAAGTAATAATGCACTGTATATACCTTGAAATGTTAAAAAATATATTAGTGATTAAATAAAAAATTCCTATTGCCAGTGTTATAAAACATTTTATCAGGAAGTTAAATATGATTTGTTTTAGTGTAACTGGTTCATTTAAAAGATCTAGATTTCATAACTTCTGCCAAATCCGTCTTGAGCTGTCCAAGATTGGACGGCAATGATGGGCTGTGAGCCCTGGGCTAACTATTCCCCCTTGCTCTCAGCCTACGATTGTCACTCAATCTTGTCCAAGTTGCAGTAGATTTGTCAGATTTGTATCAATCTGGAAATGTTTTGACACAAAATAAGGACATGTCCAAAGACGTTTCGCACCATAACTACTACAACCAGCTGAAGTGGTCATAGTGTTTACCATTTAATAGATTCTGCAAGATATCAGAAGTTACATTTTCATGCGTTTTTTCCTTGAAAGGCCTACATCGTACTCTAGTTAAAGTTCTCCAGCATTACAGTTTACCACACAATTTACTACTTTAGAATCCCACATGGAGAAAGTTTGAATTAAAAGAAACGTGCTACTAGCAGGTCCTTTTTATTTAGGAATGATGAAGTGATCTTGTGATTTCAACCGTCTCTTCAGCAACAATGGAGCAGGCTTAAGGCCCATTATATCCTTATATTCCTTCCAGTCTGTGCTTGCAGGGAACATAAGGAAAGGGAGTGACCACCAAACGCTCAATGAATGGAACGGTCCTCTATTTTCTTCCTAGGTAAAAAGACTCACATTTAATGTGATAAATGAGCCTTGTTTGAAAAAAAATAGCTGCACACAAGGAAAGCACCATGTATCAGTCTGCCCCTGCCACAACAGACAAAGGTCTATGACTACCTCCCTTAAAAGAATTGGGATGGAAGCCTTGGCAAAAGGCTGATCTCCAGCTGTTAGCTCCTTGGGTTCTGAATGCCTCCCTAGCAACAGTAAACCTATGAGCCCAGCAGGGAGGGGAACAAAACCTCTAATTACAAGGGTCAAGGGTCCTAAGTGGCGTGAAAGGAAACATTATATGTTAGTGATTTTCACAGTAAATGGAATAACTGCAATATACTTTTAATTAAGCCTTAATGTAGGACATGAGCTTTGAAATATGATAATTCTAACAAATCATATGAATCCCCAGACTCTAGGGATATATTTCACCGGTAATTATGAATGCACTATTAATTTATGGATGTCAGGGCAAATAAAACACAATTGTTCATATTTTTGAGTTTCTCTGTATGAACTTTTATACATTGTATATAAAATGGATTTTGTAACCCCTCAGGATGGTAATTCATCATTCTCAAGACTCAAATTCGCAATCATTTCACATTGTAAGAGTTTTGCTAACTTTTATTGGAGGTAAAAGTCAGGGACTATTTAAACTACACAGAACTAACACCTAATTCCTTATTTTTTTTACTTGCTAACTGTTCTACAAGTTAGCATTTTCCTATCTGAGCTCCTGACCCATCTTCCGTTGCCACCATAAGGTTGTAATAAATTAGCGGGATAAATAATAACACAAATATTAAAAAAATTATGAACCCATGAATTTAAAGGACCACTATAGTGCCAGGAAAACATATTCGTTTTCCTGGCACTATAGTGCCCTGAGGGTGCCCCCACCCTCAGGGTCCCCCTCCCGCCGGGCTGAATGGCGAGGAAATGGGTTAAACTTACCTTTTATCCAGCGCCGGGCAGGGAGCTCTCCGCCTTCGATCCTCCTCTTCGGCTGAATGCGCGGCAGGAGCTGCGCGCGCATTCAGTCGGTCTCATAGGAAAGCATTTACAATGCTTTCCTATGGACGCTGGCGTCTTCTCACTGTGTCAATGAGACAGCCACTAGAGGCTTTAGAGGCAGGATTAACCCTATTATAAACATAGCAGTTTCTCTGAAACTGCTATGTTTATAAAAAAAAAGGGTTAAACCTAGCTGGACCTGGCACCCAGACCACTTCATTAAGCTGAAGTGGTCTGGGTGCCTAGAGTGGTCCTTTAAGCATTTTTCAAAAGCAACAACCTGCTAAATCTGTTTCCAGGGGTACACCTAGATATGATATACTAACAACTCCTCTTAGGACAACACACAGTTAGATGGAATACGGTTTTGTCTTCCCAACATTATAGTGTTCCTTTAAGCAACAAACCCATAGCTAACGTCACAGAGGAAGACCTATTTACTAAGGTGAGAATTGTGAATGTGAAAGTGAATGCAACGTGAATTTTAAATTCAGGTCAAAATAGCTGTATTTGAAAAATTCTCTTGGTCAGCTATGTTTCCAGCATGACTGTCTTGGTATAAAATGTAAAATCCACTTTAAATTAATTTTAAATTCATGACAATTCCTTCTTTAGTAAATAATAATGAAAGAGGCTTAGCACTAGATCAATGTTTTCATTGGGAACAGGAGTTGGGAGACACGTGGGAATAAAGGTAATAGATGATCAGCTTTCTCCCAATTGCTTGAGGCACATCCTACTCAGACAGGTACATTTCTCTTGTTCTGGTACTTTCACAAAAATGTGCCCTGTCTAATCACAAGAAGTAGATAACCAAGCACATATGGTGATATTGTCTTTCGAGCTTACAAACCAGTACCATGTACACAACCTTCTCATATTTCACGCATTGCTGTGAAACTGCTATCTAATTAAATTACATGTATTTTTAACATCGAGATTCAATAATAAACAAATAAATATATTGGACAGGCCAAATTTCCCATCAGGCAGAGCAGGCACCTGCATAGAAGCAACTCATATGTATGGTGTGACGAAGTGCCCTTCGCCACTTGTGCCTGGAGAGGACTGCTTGCCCGCCTCTTGCCCTGTGACTATGGCCCCTGGGATGTATTGCCCTTTAAAGACATGATTTGGGCATAATGGATTTGTGTTGTGCTGCTGCTGGCCCTTTTAAGAACCATCTGGGGACATACTGTGGAGTTACTGGGTGGCCACCATTTCCTGTATCAGAGGCACATGGTGAGAACAATGGGTGGCGGCCATTTTAACTCACAGACACTGTTTGGACTTTTTAACACGGTGCCATCTTGCCAGTATTTGTTGCACAGAGACATCGTGCGGTGGTTTTGGACTATACAGCAGGGGACACATTATACAGTGATTGTTTTTTATTTAGCCTGTATATGTTCTGCAGAATCTGCATTAAACTGTATTTTCCAAAGTACTGAACGGATCTGGGTGAATTTTGGATATGTGGTTCACCCAGATCCCCCGGTTCCAATGATATACTTTTTATGGGGTTATTGCATGTTTTGGGGTCCCTGTGTGTTTTATGAAACTGTATTATTTCTGGCCAGCAGATAATTGAGCTTTGTGTATTGTAGAAACTCAATTATCTAGCCTGGCCCAGAGGAGGAGTTTTGTGTTGCATAAATTGTGAGTTCTGTGTGCCAGTAAGTCAGTCTTGTTCCAGCATTAAGCCTTGGCTCATGTTTGGGGGATTGGAGAAATACACTCTGGGGATTGCTATAATCACTATACTCCCCAGGGTATGATCACTAAGTTCTGCTAAGAGCTTGTTCCTGCTCTCTGGGGAAAGAGAGGTTCACCCACTGGAAGCTGGATCCTGGCCTTGGGTCCAGGGTGGGTGGAGACAGCAGAGACCCCAGCGCAGTTGCATCGCTGGAAGTGGGGTCTGCAGTGCTGATGGTGTCGGTTGGAGTCCTCGGCAAGCGCTAGGAGCATCGATTGGCTGAGGTACTCAGTCGGAGTGCCAGCGTTCCGTCACATATGGGTGCCTGTTTTCAGTGCTTATAAGGTGTCTTCTAGGTGCTAAAGTGGACTGGTGTGTGGAGATCATTACTAGGAGCCTTTGCCAGGATCCAATGCTTGATAGCACAGTTACATGAACAGTTATATTAAGTGTTAAACTCAGTGCTGTCCCAGCTTCTCCAGTGGGTCAATCCAATACTATACACCTCACAGAGAAGCATTGGGGTCCTGTGGCACACGAGTGACAACAGTAGAACACTTCCAGGAGAGAAGCATAGACTCCAAAGAGAGTGTGGAGAAGCACCCTCTCATCTATCTGGTTGAAGGCTGGGAGGGCGCAAAATATAACTTTACAGAGCCAGTGCTTTATGTGTTTGGATATATTCTTTAACACCCCACCCAACATGCTGATAGGGATTCTACTAAACAGCAAGTATCTACTTATCCTTTAATAACCCTAACCCGTGATGGATGAGATGGGGCATTACAAGAATAAGGGAAAGGGGGTATTTGTCTTTGGGCCTGTCCACATATATCTTCCCACTACTCATCAGCTGTGGGGCGGGGATTAAACATAAGCAGTGGGATTGTGTCTGTAATATTGCAAGGTGGTCATCCGCCACAGCTGGTCCCCTAAAGCCGTAACTCAATGGTGGTGAGATGGAGGTGTGTAATCATATAAATAAGGGGGAGCTACCATTTCTCCCCCCTGTTAGTGGGGACACTTGCAGATACTTCCTCCCATTTTTAAAGCCTCCTATAGGTGTGTTTAGGTGGGGTAAACTGTAATGACAAGTCCCACCCTTAGAAGCTCCAACCTTCGAGGGACTACTGACAGGTGTTTAGTAGACATGCCCCCACTGCAGCTAATAGAAGTCTTTGTCTTTCAAATTTTTAAGATTGATGTCATATTGACAACCATATACTTACCGTGGACACCATCATGTTGCCACAATTGTTAACCCTCGCACTGCCAAGGTTTGTTTTATTATTTATTTATATACAGTGGAACCTCGGAACTCGAACAGTCCCATTCTCGAACAATTCGGAAGTCGAACAAAAAATTTGAGTAAAAAATGTCTTGGTACGTAAACGATCTTCAGTCCCCGAACATACAACAAAGAGCCAAATGTCTCGATACGCGAACGATCTTCAGTACCCGAACATACAACAAACAGCCATGTCTCATTTTCAAGTCAGACAATTATTATAAATAATTGTAGTAATAGCCAATAGTAAACTTTTAGCAAGTTGAAAGGGAGGAACCACTCAAATAAATGTAAAGTGCTTATTATTAGAGTGATCTCTGCATTTTCTGAGCATACGTATAGAAGTAAAATGCTGTAATTTTGGGGGTCTGGAACGGATTAATCAATTTTACATTAATTCTAATGGCAAATGTTGATTCGGTTCTCGAACACTTCGGGACTCGAACAGCCTTCGGGAATGGATTAAGTTCAAGTTCCGAGGTTCCACTGTGTATATATATATATTTGATTTTTTTATTTTTTTTATTATTATTTTTTATTTTTTTTACTGTTTCCTTACTTGTAGCACAAGCAGATAGTCTGGATTTTCAATATCTAGATCTGGATTCCAGCCATCTGATAGTTTCAGGACAGGGTGAAATCAGAAATACATGCATGCCCATTAGAAACAAACAGTCATAGAGAGACAGAGAGTCTGTCAGATAACAACAACAACAACAACATCATTTCATAAACAAAATAAAACAGAGTTACCACACATAAAATCCCACTCTCAGCTTTTTTTTGTGGGAGTTTTATTTATATCATATCATATATATTAGTTACAGTATAAAGCATTTTTCATTCAGATTGCAACATTATACCTTATAGATAGATAAGAAACCTGGATATGGAGCATTTCATAGTAAATACAAAACAAAGTGTCAGCCTAGTGGGAGGGAAGGGGCTGCTATCTGGGGAGAAAGTGATCTGTGTAACGTGCTCTATAAGGAAGTGCAGGAAGAATAAAAAAAAAAAGACATGTCACAACGGGCTGACAGAGGGGAGTTACCTCTTTTATAAAGATTCAGCCTCATTCCAGGATACAACTCAGCAAAGGAAGGAGAGGACACAGAATAACCCAGGGACTTGGGACACAGTGATAGCACAGAAATGCATACCTTCTGTCAGGGGCTTCCATGACATAGTAAAGATTGGTTTATGAAATCATCTTGGACCTTTTTGGCTGCCACCAGAAGATCCAACATTCCAACATCCCTTCTAGGACCTCACTGACTGCTACCATCAGAAGTTCCAACATTCCATCACACTTTCTAGGATCTTGTTGCCTACCACCTACCACCAGACCCAACATTCCAGCATCCCTTCTAGGACCTCACTGTCCCCCACCAAAAGATACAACATTCCACCATCCCTTATAGGACCTCATTGACTTGCCAAGGGCAGCACCTGCTATATCCAGGTGTCTGTAGCAGCCCTGTCTTCACCATGGACCTCCCAGAGGAGCAGAGTTTGCATTGCACAAGCCCTGAGAGGCCAACAAGGGGACATCGCAAAGGTGGGGCACGTTCAGGATCTCCCCAACGATTAAGGTGCCAGAAAATAGTTAACCGAGGGCTCATGTCATCTACCTCTGAGAGGCGCAATGAGAGGGAAAGGAACAGGGTGAAACTGGTCAACATGGGTTTTGCCAAACTTAGGCAGCATGTGCCCCAAGCCCAAGGTCCCAACAAAAAGATGAGCAAGGTGGAGACCCTGAGATCAGCTGTAGAGTACATCAGGGCACTGCAGGACCTTCTGATGGACAGACAATCTTCTGGAGATGGCCAGGGGGCCAGGACTGGCTCTAATGGACTCTCCCCCTGCGGCAGCAGCTGCTCTGGTGATTCGGGGTCCATGCCCTTGTCCCCTGGGTCCTGCTCATCTTGTACGTCTGAAGAGTGCTCCCAGGAGGACAGTAGTAACGTATCTGATGCAGACATATTCCTAACACTACACGGCTGGGGATAGCTAAGAGGTTAGTGCACCTGACTGCCTTTTACTACATTGTATACTGGGAACCTTCTGTGCCTTGATAAGAGAAATACGTTTAGATCTTTATCAATAATGACCAGATATCAGTTATATGTGGACCACCAGTGTATAGCAATAGGTAAAGTATATTTTCAGCTGTGGTCGGAGTACAACTCTCATCACCTTCAGTCATGTTGCAGTTGTTTGAGGGTGCTGGAAGTTGACAGCCATTTATAGATGGAGGACTAATTTTTAACTCTTTTATTTTGTATTATATTTATATTATATATATATATATATATATAACTTCACAGCTTTTCTGTAAACTTATTCAATATCCAGATCCATGCTAAACAAAGACACCCAGACTTTCTCCATATCACACACACACAGGTAATACAGAAACCTCAGAGTTTGATGGCTTATTTTACCATCAGCCAATACACTATAGAATCATTTGAATTTGTTTTTATAAACTAACTGCAGATTCCACAACACTGTTTACAAACAATAAAAAATAAAAAAAAACTACATAAAACAAATAATATACACAGAAGTAGATGGGTTGGAGGGGGTGGGGGGTGAGATTGAATGGATAAGAAGGAAGAAATGTATTTACTATAAATACTGTAACAACCCAACCCCCTCCCCAGGTCAATAAGGATAGATTTTAGGCAGATTCCTAGTTATAGCAGTTCAGTTGGTATTTTATCATGCAGCAGTGGGTTAATAAAAGGCACTAATCAGACTGCTCTCTCTAAACTGCAGAGCTAAGAATTCAGTGAAGTGTAAGTTGTCAGCATACTCAAAAACAATGTCATTTTTAGGCTGCAGTTAAATGAAAAAAAAAATAATGAAAAAAGATAATTTTGGAGATTATTTTTCCAATCTTCCTTTTGTGGCCTGAAAAACTGAACTCACATTCAAATCACTTTAAATTCTTGACATTTTTCACTTCAGTGATTAAACCTGTCAGTGTCTTCTAGTGACTCCTTAAACATCATTGCCAACCATTGTAAACAATTTCCAAGGACGGTTTGTGGCTAGTATGCACACAGATGTACACAGACGTACACAGACACACACAAACAAACACACACACAAACATAGAAAGACTAATACACACACAAACTCCCTGACATATATACAAACACACACACACACACACACAACAAGACTAAAAAAGATACACAAATACTAATACACACACAAGCACCCTGACATACACAGACACACACACACACACACACAGAAAGACTCAAAGAGATACACGCATACTAATACACACTCAAACACTCTGACATACACAGACACACACAGCAAGACTCAAAGAGATACACAAATACTAATACACACATAAGCACCCTGACATACACACACACACACATACACACACACACACTGAAACATTCAAAGAGATACACGCATACTGACATACACACAAACACCCTGACACACAGACACACACACACAGCAAAACTCAAAGAGATACACACATACTAATAGACACACAAACGCCCAGACACACACTGAGAAAATCTCACACAGACATACACATACCGAAATAAATAAAGATAACACATATTCCTCTCCAATTTCCCGTGGGTCCTGAAGCAGCTACATTGGCTGTAGTTCCCCCCTGAAATGTGGGACAGGATGTTTAGTTTTTCTGGGACTGTCCCAGAAAATTCAGGACTATATTCAACTATGCTTATGGCTGGGGTAACGCACAATAGAGTGCGTCTGATGGTCTATGGCTGTACTACAGTACTAGTTACATCTTATTAATGATATCACAGTATTATTATTTTTATTATTCGATGTACTCATTTATTGTCAGGTTTCAGACTTTATCACAAAGTTTATATTCATTTGCTATCAAATAATAGCAGATGTGAACGTCGATTTTCTGCAGCACATTTTACTAATCCAGTCTGGTTTTATTTTTCTTACTTTCAAAATATGTAAATGAACTTTGGTAATGTAACTAATGGTAACTTCTTTATATTCATCAATGACACATTAACATCTAAATGGAAAGAACTCTGCACCATATACTACTTTATTTTAATAGTGGGACTTTGTGTATACATAGGCATACGTTTTCTTTTAACTAGATAAGCTATCGCAAAATGACACAAAATGTGCACTACAGAACTAATGGGAGGGGAAGTGAGGGCTGTTTGGACATCCATTAGGGCAATGGGTATTCAACCTTCAGCACTCTAAATGTTAAGGACTACATCTCCCATAATGCTCTTACAGCCATAATGCTGGCAAAGCACCAGGTGACATGTAGTCCACATCATCTGGCGTGCCAAAGGCTGCCTACCCCTGCACATCAGGCACACCTCTAGCACATTCCTATGAGTGCGAACATCGGTGGTTATAGATTAATTTTGCTGGAGGGGAAAACGCAAAGTGAGGGTCTTTTTCTTTTTTTTTTGCTCAAATATTCTTATTTTTTTTTTTTTATAAAGGTGCTGGAGGGTAATGTTATGAAGTTAAAGATTGGAGTTATTCGAGGTAGGTTTACAGAATATTAAAATTAGATTGTTAAATTATTTGAATTGTTTAGAAACTGGAGTTTAGGATTAATTGTCAACATCAGGGTTTCTGGTAGCTAGATTTAGGATTAAACAAACACTGAAAGCACTCTAACAACCTCATCTTATTGGAATTGTTGTAGTGCCTGCAGTATTGTCCTCCTCCCCAGTCCTACTCAACAAAACTCAATATTAAAATAATTAGAAGGCTTGAAAGTCACAAATCCAAGACCTCTGAGTATGAGAGCCTGGAGTCTTAATTCTTACCGTAACATACCATGACGTCACGCGCATGCGCAGTGCCATCACGGCTACCATAGAGAATCAATGGGTACATTAGAGTTCAATGATTTTCAATGGAAGAATCGTAGGCGCATCGCTCCACAATGCTTTATGAGGACCATTGGATTGGCCCGTCGTCCTGAAGGCAGCTCTCAGGATGACATAATCTGAGGAGGAAGATACGAATCACGGCAGCACTGAGGGAGACTCGGCGCTGGAGAACAGGTGAGTAATTTGTTGATTTTTAATTTATTTTGTTATTTGTTTAAACAGTTGGGGGGGGACTTAATTGCCAATTGACAGGGCTATAGCGTTAGAAGTAAGATATCTACAGTGTTCCTTTAAGGATTTGAAGTCAGGGGTTATATGGGTACATCGGGGGCGATTTATTAAGACAAAACCAGTGCAATAGTGGAGCAAAGTGCTAAATAAAGAGCAATCACCATGGAAACTAATGAATTTAGCACTTTGGCTCAGAAAGCAGCACCTGTTCTGCCGTAATAAATCTCTAGAATGAACATTCCCTCACGTGATGCAAACTATAACAACTTATATGGATGTTCAAAAAAGTGAGAATTCAGAGTGAATTCAAAGTGAATTTCAAATGGAAGGCAAAAATAACCGAAGTGCAAAAATTATCTAAGTCAGCTATGCTTCCAGTTCAGCTAGTTTGACCTTAAATTTGAAATTCACTTTGAATTTTCGCTTTAGTGAAAAACCCTGATAATCTTGAGATGAGCACTGAAAGTACGGAGCTAATACCATAGTACTTCAAATACTACAACCCTCAACCAGCCGTATGCAGCATGAAATGGCAAAACCGAGAACAGGGGGGCAGTGATTATGGTAAATTGCTGTGGCAGAATGAATTAACATGCCCTTTCAGTGGTCTTACCTTTTAATGCCAAGGGCAATTTACCTTTACCCCTTTTGAATGTCAGTGGCGTACACAACATGCTAAGGACTTTCTCCAAACATACATCATCATCAGATTGTCAAGCGAATTAGATTGAAATGAAACAGCAAGCTCTCATCGGAGCTCTGTTCTGCACTTCCTGATGTCAATAACTTAAATTCCACTGAAAAATTTATATATTTTTTAAAATGTTGATTTAGATGGCAGATAAGAGGTAAGAGATAGATTGCTCATTCTGACATTCAATCCATACTTAAAAAGCACAACTGCTGTTCAACTTCCTCCATTACCCCCTCCACTGGAAGGCCATTCCACGCTCGTACATGCCTTTCTGTAAATATTTATGATCAAAATTCAGTTTATTTTGCCTTAACCTCCAAACATATCCATTTGTTATTAAATATATGGTCCTATATCGCCTGCCTACCCTGTCACAGTGATATTTTATTTTGAAGTCCTTGCACGATTACGCTAGAGTTTCCTTCACATTGTTTCAATGTCTCGGATACACTTGTAACTAAATATATTATTGTTATCAGCATTTATCTAGCGTCAACATATTCCGCCACGCTTTACAATTTTATAAAGGGAAAAATGTAACAATACAAAATGTTACAGGAACAATAAGTTGATGAGGATCCTGCTTAAAAGAGCTTACAGTCTATAAAGTATAAAGTAATGATGAAGGTACAGGCCAAACTTTGGGGCCTAGACTCTCGAATTGAAATGTATTGTGTCCTGTAAAAAGCAGTTGATTGTTGTATTCATTGCATTACGATATCTGTGTTAGTGAGTTTGTATTTCCTATCTCTCCAGCCTTCGTGAGTGATTCCCAATATAGTTTCACTTTACTGTACCTGGCACGTGGGTTGTGAATTAATGCGTATTAACTGCCATCAAAAATATTTCAGTTATCAACTCACTGCAAATTACAGGGGTTTATTTAGTAAACTCCGAACCGTAGCACAATAAAATCTGAATGGCAATTTTTTAGGGCCCAAAATTTGATGTTCACATTCAGGATTACATATCTCCCACACGTCCCTATTTAGGAGGGACAGTCCCTATTTCAAGCCCAAATCCCTCTGTTTATTTTTTCTGTCCTATGTGCCTCTTTTCTAGGAGCTCCGTCTTGTTGGTGTGTCTGAGTGGATAACAGAGCTCCACAGTAATAATACTCTCAGTAATTTGTCTTCAAACTACAATTAATGTGTTTAGAAATCAATCTGTGTAAATAATATACACTGTTATTGTTCTAAATTACATTTTAATTGTTTTTCGTGTCACCTAAAAAATTTTAAAACAGCCCCGCCACTGATTACACCCCCACTCACACCCCTAAAATTAAAATGCCCTTCTTTGTCCATTACAAATTTTGGGAGGCATGGAGTGTGAGCATGGTGTCATTGTCCCCATACCGACTGGGGTCTAATCATTAAACACTGACAATGTTATTCACTAGAGTGTGATAAAACAGGAATTCAAAATAAACAGGGTTATTTACTAAAGTCCAAATTTTAGTGAATTAAATTCAAATAACATTTAGGAAAAAATACACAAACTGTGTGACTGTGAATTTGCTCCCAAACTGCTATTTTTGTTTCTATTTTGCCATTGTGATTTAATTTACAAAAATTCATAGTTTAGTGAAACAATGTTCTTCAGTTAAGTTTGAATTCTAGACACCTCACATTCTACTGCCTATATTCTGCTGTTGAGATTTAATTTATTGAAATTCAGAGTACATTAAATAATCATGTTTGAGTTCATTTTGAATTCATACTTTAGTAATAACCTTGTTACTGTATCACTAGACCCCAGCTTTGGGGAGGCACAATGAAACCATCCTCAATAAACATAAATTTTTCCCTTTTGCATTAATAGAGAGTTTATCATATGACGAACATACAAATGAGGGATTATTTACACAGCTCTAGTTTATGCAAATGCGAGAGACAAAAAAGGCAAGTACGGTGCTTACTATGAACTTTATTTACCACTGAAATAGTGAATGACTTTCTACTGCTTCTGATACTTCAAATGGCAACTGATTAAAATTTTTATTAGAGCTCTCCATGCGGTGTACCTCATTTTTAGATTTATGCCCCCCACCCCGCCACAATGACTCAATTTCACATCAGTTTAATATAATATGTATCTGCATGTATTTCACAATACTTTTTCTTTTTATGAAGCATGTAACTGCCATTTACCATTTAACTGCCAATACTTGCGCAAGTCAGACCTTTAGGGTATATGTAAAATACATCTAATTTTTATTATTACTTACCAATATACTAGTTTCCGTTTTGTCATTCCAAGCACACACACATGGCTGGTGCAAGGGGTAGGGAAGGTAAGTTACGCAATCCTATGCACTCTTTTTATTGTAAATATTGTAAATAAATAAATCATTATGTATGCGGGTGGGCAGAATAAATCAGCTTGGTCCCTTTTTTTATAATTTAGTGGCAGAGCTGGACTACCCATTAGGCAACCAAGGTGGTCGCCTAGGGCCGGTTTCGGACAACTCTGGAACTCTGACTCTGAGCAGGCCTGCCTTGAGCTGGCTTGGAGATCAAAAAATCTGTCTGCACGGCCCTGTGCTCCCTCACTCTGTTGGTGTAGTGTTGTGGTATGTTCCAATATCAGATACAGACAACTTTAAGAGCACCCTTGTGATCCCCCCGGCATTCTCGATGACTCAGAATGCCACAGCAAGAATCTGAGTCATTGATTGACCATCAGAACTGTGAGCACACTCTTAAAGAGGGCTATACCTGATATTGGTGTAGGCAATGTAGCTTCTGCTCAGTCACTACATACACACAACAATCAACTATCACACATACACTCAACCCCCCCCCCCCCACACACACACAGCACTCTGCCTCCTCCACACAAAACACTCAGCCAATAAACACACATGGCACTCATTCGACACATACCACTCACAGAAACAGAGGATAGGGCTCTAGGAGGGGACCCCAGTCTTGCACCCTGCCTCGGGCTATTTGTCTATTACTATGCATATTCACGCTCTACGACAGCCTGTACCTTGATCACAGATGGCCAGTGAATATGTGATAGCCTCCTCTGTTTTGCTCCTCACAATCCAGAGTTGACTTCAGAATAATCCCATGAGGATCAAATGTTAGTCATATGTTTTTAGTTAAAATTTTTATTATAATTATTATAATCATTTTATTATTTATATAGTGCAAGTAGCACTGTACAATGGGACAGGAATAATAATTATGATTTGATGCCCATGGTCCATTTTTGATATTTTAATAGTTTGATTTGCTTGCGCCCATTCATTAACTAGCAATCACAGCATTCTAAGGACTGATTTAGGTTGAAAATATTAGCTCAGTTTTGTGAAAAGTTCCAGGAATTCACTTATTGGATTCTTTATACTTTTACTCAAATTCCAATTATTCTTGATGTTTTAAAGAGAAAGTAGAAGGGAGTAGGTTGCTCAAGTCTTCTATGGCTTCTTAAATCTTTGTTTGGTCAAGAGAGAAAGTTCTTAGTTGCAGAGATCACTTAATGTTTACTGGAATGTTTGTCTGTGTCTGATTAAATCCCCTCTTATTGGAGACTAATACCCTGTGACTCCTCTTTGAGAGGTGCCTTGTAGGTGTTTTTCTTGCTAGCTTTATCTAACATCATTGGAACTCTCTTTGTATTGTTGTATCTGTCTGTGTTTTGTAAGATAATGTGGGAACACAGTCTATTTTCTGGACGTTAAACAGGACTTATTTATACTATTTTTACGTCTGGCTAATTTAAAATGGCCAGATATGTGGAACTCAATTAAGGTCTACTAACCCTTCAAATGAATACCTTATTTGCCTGTATAGTTTAAATGTATTTGATTTCGCACTTTTAACATATCAAGGTTTAACTAACAAGAGCCTTAAAAATTTAATAAATTTTTTTTAAATCCACGTTTTTGGTTTTTAAAATAGGAAAGAAAGGCCTGTACTAGAATTTACAAGATTATGTTTAATGGTTTCATTAATGGGACAAAAGGCCATGGACTCTCTCGCTCTCTTCAATGGGTTGTATAGCTAACTGCATTAAAAATAGCAATAAATACATAGATACTTCACTTTTGAAGGTCCTAATTTTTAAGAAAACCCCAGGAACTTTAGCTTCTAATGTGATCTACCGTTATATTTTGCTGGGTTTCATGTGATTCCTTCGTGTTTAGAACTCGACCTATAATTGCTCTTTATACATTACCCATTTTGACTATACTGCATGCTTTTAATAATGCGATCTATTTGTTAATCTCACAATTTATTTTATTTTCTACCCACAGACTGCATGACTGAAATCCTTTTAAGGTCTCTATCTTCAACAAGGACACGAAAAATGATGTTCCACTTAAATGTTCCACCGATGCCTTGAATCCAAATATAATATATTAAGACAGATATTTATATGAAACGTTGTATATAGGTGGTAGCATTCTATTCTGCCATTTTTTTTTTTTAATTTAATGCTATTCCAGGTAATATATTTAGTTAAAACAGTATTTTATGCCTTGATTTTAACCGATAACCGAGCAAGAAGAATTTGATGTACGTTGTGGGTATTTGTGGATAATTTTCCTAAAAACTGTGCAGAGAAAAAAGGCTTTAAAATTCACAAAAGTCTTCAAACATTCTTTTCTTCAATGGGATCAATTGTATTATAAAAACCTCTTCTTTTTTCTGCCTTTAAAAAAAGGTACTATTTGCTACAAGTCTTTAGTCCCTGGAGGTTACATAAAAGACTAAAAAGAATTAGTAAGACTTTTAATGGATTTAAAGGTAAACAGACCCGCGGCTTAAAAAAAAATGCAAACATTAAAAAAAGTGGAAGAAATTTTTAAAGATCTGAGACGTATTAACGATTGCAATAACATTTCTTTATTTATTTTTGCTTTTTTTTAAATTTTATCTCTGTCAGGTGTTTTATTAAGATGGGCAGTTACTGTTTTAAAAGGACCCTATCATAATCATTTCTATACAGACATAGTGGTTTTAATGGAGAACATACGTTTTCGTGTCTGTTTCGTTTGTATGTTTTCTTTATACATGTTTTATTTTAAGATTGCTCGTAAACTGGTCCTATGACATCTGTTTCATAGGACTTTTAATTAATTATTCTTTGTTACAAAATGTACACTATGGGCTTAATTTATGGCAACCATTGTTTCGAGATTCTGGTGAAGTCTCGTTTTTAAACATTGTATCAATAATGTATGTTCTTAAAAGATAACTGCATTTTATTTTCTAATCAAACCTGTAAGATTAGGTTTGAATCTGATTTTATAGAAAAAATAGATGAATGCAAAAAAAGTTGTCAGATTGTCACATCTATATGCACACAGATACCTATTGTATAGTAAAAACTGACTTAACCCCTTAAGGACACATGACATGTGTGACATGTCATGATTTCCCTTTTATTCCAGAAGTTTGGTCCTTAAGGGGTTAAAGGCACACTATAGGCACCCAGAGCACTGCATCTCATTGAAGTGGTCTGGGTGCAGTGCCCTTGTCCCCTTAACCCTGCAATGTAAAACATTACAGCTTTGCAGATACTGCAATGTTTATATTGCAGGGTTAAGACAACCAGGCAGCCACTAGAGGCGCTTCCTACAGTTTTTCAGAGTTTAAGTACGTGAAACGATGCTGGATGTCCTTACACTTTGCAGGAGGACATGCTGCGTCACGCAAAACCCTTTTGGAAAGTATTGATATGCTACACATTAGGTTCCCCCATCAGTGTGACATTAGAGGATACAGAGTGAAATCCAGCACCAAAGGACATTCTTAGTAGTGGATTTAAGTAACTTAGAAATAGTTTTTTAATTCATTTTTTGCTGCTGGGTGGGGAGTGCGGAGGCAGAGGGTCACTTTAGTGCTAGGGATATAGTTTTGTATTCGTAATACTATAGTGTTCCTTTAAAAGAAACAGGGAGTCTTCCTCCTGTCCCCCATACATCTCCGTCTCAAAAAAACAACAAACCCTTAAAGGTTCCATTTGAAAAGAAGTTGCATTCTGATTTGCTGTTTGTTGTTTTTAGTAAATCATACGACTAGAATTCAGATCATGATCAGTAAGTAGAAGAGCAGATATGAGGATAAACTAAGATTTGCCTTTAATCTGTGTAAGAAATACTTACTTCTTAACACCATGCAAGTAATGTGTAATTTAAAAGACTTTTTATATCTTTCAGATTGTCAGACACAGCTCTGTCTTAAAGAATTGTTTAAAGGGACACTATAGTAACCAGAACAACTACAGCTTATTGAATTTGTTCTGGTGAGTAGAATCATTACCTTCAGGCTTTTTGCTGTAAACACTGTCTTTTCAGAAAAAATGCAGTGTTTACATTACAGCCTAGTGATAACTTCACTGGTCACTCCTCCGATAGCTGTTAGAGATCCTTCCTGGGTCATGGCTGCCTAAAATGCATCCAAACATTCAGTGTCTCCTCCCTCTGCATGCAGACACTGAACTTTCCTCATAGAGATTCCTTGATTCAATCCATCTCTATGAGGAGATGCTGATTGGCCAGGGCTGTGTGTGAATTGTGCTGGCTCTGCCCCTGATCTGCCTCCTTGTCAGTCTCAGCCAATCCTATGGGGAAGCATTGTGATTGGATCAGGCTACCACTTCTGATGAGGTCAACAGACTGCTTGTTTTCTTTTAGGCAAACAGCATGCAGAGTTACAGCTTCAGGCTTGAATACAGTAAGGTTTTGCAATATTTATGGAGGCATGAGGGGCCCAGGGTGGCTAGATGGTGGTTTTAACACTATAGGTTCAGGAATACATGTTTGTGTTCCTGACCCTATAGTGATCCTTTAATTGTGATTGGCTTTCCATTTACTAAATCATTCTAGTAGTGCCCTTTTAACAGCACTTTTCATTTGTCATTGATGGAAACCTTTTAGCAGTTGTAAAGGATTCTTATTCGGAATCCCAAACAGTGAGTTAAAAACTGACTTTCAAATACAAATGTGGACATTCACACATACAGACTGAAATCCTGTGTATTTGTTTGCAAAACCCAAAGTGTAGTGAATCTGTCACTATAGCTGAGTTAAAGGATTCAAAATAAGTTTTTTTTGCCTCTAGTTCAGATTTCACGTTTCCCCTTTTTAGAAACGTGTTACTATAAATATTTTACTATAAATACTATTTTCTATGCAAAAGAAATGAAATTACGAATTGAGTTTGCTAATTCAGGAAACTTGGATGTAGAAATTAATTCTGAATCCCGGGGGAAGCACTATTCATGCATTGCCCATCATCATGTAGAGGTTAATCATGTAATCCAAAATGTAACTTAAGGATCTTAAAACCAATGTAAATACCATCATATTTTGGAATTTCGTGCCTTCCCATTTCTTTACAGGATACAGTACAGCAGCCATAAGCCAATCAGTAGCCTTTAACATGGACTGGTAGTCTCAGCAATCTAACCAGGAGTTTGGGCTATTGTGCTGGAGAAGTCCATAGGACTTTTTATTTTTTTGTTCTAGGGTATTTTGTAAATATATATTTTTATTATATTTGGTAGATATTTATTGCTAGTAATGGTCTTATTTTGTATTTAAGTGATGAGTGTCCCATTCCAATGCAGCCTACTTTTCCAATACCAATTCAGGCAGTAGTGAATTTAAGGATTGTTAGACTTGTTAGACTCACTCTTTGCCTGGCTGTGACACCGTTAATGCCACACAGGAATATCCACTAAATTGTAATTTGTCAGGAAATCAAAGTGAATTTCAGATTTTAGATTAAAACTCCATCTCCATGTTAGGTTATTCTACCTAAAACTTAAAGGACCACTATAGGCACCCAGACCACTTCAGCTTAATGAAGTGGTCTGGATGCCAGGTCCCTCTGCTGTAAACATAGCAGTGAAACTGCTATGTTTATTAATGGGTTAAGCCTTCCCCTATTTCCTCTAGCGGCTGTCTCATTGACAGCCGCTAGAGGCGCTTCCGCGCTTCTCACTGTGATTTTCACAGTAAGAAGACGCCAGCGTCCATAGGAAAGCATTGAGAATGCTTTCCTATGAGACTGGCTGAATGCGCGCGCAGCTCTTGCCGCGCATGCGCATTCAGCCGGGGACGTCAAAAGAGGGAGGAGAGTCCCAGCGACGAGGGAGCTCGGCACTGGAAAAAAGGTAAGGGATTAACCCCTTCCTACACCTTCAGCGCGATGGGAGTGGGACCCTGAGGGTGGGGGCACCCTCGGAGCACTATAGTGCCAGGAAAACAAGTTTGTTTTCCTGGCACTATTGTGGGCCTTTAAAATTAATGTTTAATTTGCAAAAGCGTACCTCCCAAGTGTACCACCCTCGGGGCACTATAGTGCCAGGAAAATGAGTTTGTTTTCCTGGCACTATTGTGGGCCTTTAAAATTAATCTTTAATTTGCAAAAGCGTACCTCCCAAGTGTTCTTTTTTAGGAGGGACAGTCCTATTTTGTATCCCAAATCCCTCTGTCTCTCTTTTCTATCCTAATGTCCCTATTTTTGAGGAGCTCCATGTTGTTAGTGTGTTTGAGTGTATAACAGAGCTCCACGACAAAAATGCTACCAGTACTGTGTCTGAGTGGATAACAGAGCTCCACAGCAATAATACTCCCAGCAATGTGTCTGAGTGGATAACAGAGCTCCACAGCAATAATACTCCCAGTAATTTGTCTGAGTGTATAACAGAGCTCCACAGCAATAATACTCCCAGTAATGTGTCTGGGTGTATAACAGAGCTCCACAGCAATAATACTCCCAATAATGTGTCTGAGTGTATAACAGAGCTCCACAGCAATAATACTCCCAGTAATGTGTCTGAGTGTATAACAGAGCTCCGCAGCAATAATACTCACAACAATGTGTCTTTAAACTATAATAAATATGTTTAGAAATCAGTCTATGTATATAAAATACACTGTTCTTGTTATAAATTACATTGTAGTTGTACAAATAGTTATTAGTAAGTCAACTTACATTTCTCAGAATCCCTAACTCAGCCACTGCCTCCCCTCAACTCACACCCCTATAATGAAAGTGTACCTCTTTGTCTATTTGAGACAATATCCTGTATGCGTGTTATGGTGAAAGGAATGAGGAAATCAATAAGGACTTTAATATATTTTTACCCCCTCTTACCACTGATGTTGGTAATACCATCATATCCCAATGCTTGCAGTGTGTAACAGTGAGCATGGATAAAATATACTGACAGATCCCACTCATGGCAGCAGCACACCGTGTGGCCTTTATTGGGTATGACACATGACATGAATGTTACACTTGGTTGATCCCTAGGGATAGGGACTCCTAAAACATGGTTACATAATAATAAGAGACGGAAAGATCTAGTTATTCAATTTCAGCCTTTAACACATCATGTTACTACTGCTGATCAAAAAGAAGGTAGAAAAACAAAAAATTTGACACTATTTCCAAATTTGACACAAAAAAGCCCTTGTTTTCAAATCGAACAATGCTGCCTTCTGAACTTGTCTCTTTATAGTACATGTCTCTGATTTTCCAATTTTGGGCATTAGACTGTCTCATTTTACTGAATGGCAGCATCACAAAAACACTGGCACTACAACTAAATGAAGAGCCTTGGTTTGTCTACCACACTCTGCTGGTGGTGAGAAGTTACTGCACTCGCCTGTCTGGGGTGCTCTATTGTAGCAGTTCTGTGTGGAGTCGCAATAACTGTATATCTTACATATCTACCTCCAACTACTTGTTAGTTCAAAGTGCCAATCCTATACAGATGCAATGGTTTTGGATTATATGGGTAGTCTACTGTAAATGCAAAATGCTTTGTTGTTTTTTTTAAATTTGTTTTACATTTTGATTATTTTATTGATACTAGATATTTTTTATTCATTTTATTTAGAAAATATCCAGTAATGTTTTGTTTTATAAAGCTCTCTGCTGATCTAAAAAATATGAGTTGAAATTAGGGGATTTAAGCGATTCGCTACAGAGATCGGATATAGGTGACCTGACGATGAAGATGGTCTGTTCTGGCATGAAAGGGTTAATTCTGCGTTTTATGTCTTTTAAGAAAAAAGGAAAAATTCTGAAATGTATATTGCAAAACTGTAGGAGAATATCTCATGTTGCAGAGACTCCCTCGGTCACAGACTCAGTTAAAATGATGTCTAACAGATGCCTGTATTTGTTGAGCTAATTCTCTTTACATAAGGAATGACCTACAAATGTGCGCCTTGTATATAAACTCAACGACTGTGGATGAAAGTGCCTGAAATTTATTGGGATCCAGAAAATCTCCTCCAAAAAGCACAAAATTAATAGAACCTCCGAGAGGATTTGAAATAATGTACTTCAAACAAGACATTAAACTTAATATATATACTGGAATGTAAAATTATTTATTTGTAGATATATAACATGTCTGACATTTTTCTAGAGGACATTTTTCAAAAAAAACTGTTATTTTTCTAATAAAACCTTTAAAACATTTATTTGTTTGTGTAATTTATATTGTTTCTGTTTTTCAATATGTAAATGCGTTTGTTATATGTGTGCCGTATTTATCTATCTATCTATCTAGTGTGCGTGTGCGTGCGTGGATTTATTTGGGCTTGTTTTTTATTTACTTTTTGCAATTCATGAAACTAGGAATTTTTGAGAACTGACAAGATCATTGCAAGTTTTAAGTCCTAAATAGGTTAATTGGAATATAAAATGTATACTATTTCCAGGTCAGCTATTTTGGCCCCAAAGGTTTAATTCTATTTTCCTTTCTCCAACATTTGTCATTTAGTAGACGTGCCCTAAAATGTTATCAGTTGATAGTAAAGGTACATAAACTGTTTATTTCACTATTACAAGCAAAGGATGGGTTCTGATATATTTACGCTGGTGTTGATGAAGATGGGTTGGTGGGGTAAGGCTTCTTGGGATCCCTGGATCTAAGGGACCCAGCCACATCTGTACATCTTGTAACCTTCATTGTGATACTAGTAGCATACCGTTACTTAGTTAAGTTAACTTAGTTTTTTATGTTTTGTGCCGCCCCCTGGAAAGTGCCGCCCAAGGCAAATGCCCTGTTAGCCTTGCAGTAAATACATCACTGGTCACAACCCCTCTGGCACGAAGTAATTGTAAGTTATTTTTCAAGTAAATGTCACACTAATTACCCACCTCAACTCCTTCCGAAAAAATAAAAATAAAGAAAAAAACTTGAAGTACAATTCTTCCAAGGAGATGTTTAGCACAAAGGAAGATTGTTAAGAACCACATCATAAATCAAACACATTGTAAAGCAAGTACATTCAATTGTGTGATTGATTACTCCTGCTACAATGTGATCACACATTTTCTTATTCCTATCTCAATCATGCCATGTTACGCAATAATATGTCCAAGTCAGCTTTAAAATCATAAGGCAAGAAAGCAAATTCTGCCAAATGACACATATTTATTTTTGTATGGATAAAAATAGATCACACGTATGGTACCTCCCAAATTAAGTATGATTAAATTCTCACGCACAATGAGGTGCATTGTAATGACTCAAGAATCCACTGTGGTTTTGATTGGCAGGTCAGATTACAGATATAGAAAGATCGAGCAAAGCGACGCGTTTTAATGCAGTAAGACTGATTTCCGCTTTGAATCCGCTTTGAATCGTAGCACACATGAGGGATTTATTTTGTGAGAGCAACTTACAGTAACTTATTAAGAAACTTTTTAACTTTTAGAATTGTGAGAGAAACAATGCACTCTGCGATGTATGAACGAAATCCATATAAGTTTTGCACTCAAATCCTCATCCCTACATTTAGCAATTTTGATTTTCTTGTCTTTTGAACATATTGTGAGAGTCGACTGGAAATCTATCCATTCGGTTACCACTACATTTTCTGATGCGCTCATTCCCTTTTCTCCTGAATTTTTCTTGCTACACTCTCTCCCAACACCTCTCACACTACTCCAATATCTCAGCAATGCTGCCCAGAGAAGGACTACGATACAACGGAGTGTGAGGCCCCTTTCAGTCCTTTCAATGATTAATGGGGCCAAGCAAATCCATGGTCCTCTTATAACCCGCAGGCCGTAGGTGGACATCTAGGATAACCTTATGATGCTGCCTGTTTGCCAGGGTTTTGGAGGTATAGTGTGAACCCTACTGTTAAGGATTGAATATATATATATATATATATATATATATATATATATATTTATAATAGATTGAGGTGTTCATTTTGTCTACCTCTGATGGTTACCAAAAATATACCTTGACTTGGTTTCACTGGACATGGTAGCTGTCCTCCGGCTCTGCTGGGTCTACCTCGGATCTTCAAGCTTGGGCTTCGTTTATTTTTCGGAAGTCCTGATGGGACGTATCTCCCACCCTGTAGTTCGGCTATTTTACTGTTTTACTCTGGTGCTTCTTTTTGCTTTACCCCTCCCCACTTTTTCTTTCCTCTCTTTTATTCCCCCCCACCCCACCTCCAACCTGTTAGTTACTTAATCAATGCAAATGCCAATTCAATGTTCAATTACATATATGTTTGTATTGATGAAAAGTACTATTTCTTTCTATCTACTGTAACTACACTGCAGCTGTTCTCCTGCTTTGGTCTTTGTTTAAGATGTGAAGTGTTACATACTATATTTCAATTAAAAAAATTATTAATTGTCTGAAAGCATTAGTTATATCAGAAAAGGAGATCAGAACAGAGAAGTCTGGGACTCTTGTAAGGAACTGCCCATTTGGAAACAGCTTGACTACTTAACATGAGAAGGCACTAGGGGACTTCTGGCTCCATAGCCACTACAGCAGACTGTAGTGGATAAAGTGCCTAGACTGCCCCTTTAATTAGTTTGTAGTGAGAATATCCACTCCTGTCTCATTAGAGAGTTTGTCTGTGAGCAGCAATGTGAACTGTTAGCATAGGAACTCAAAGAGGTTTGCCTTGATGTTGGCAGGTGAGCTTACACTATGCGGCTGTAACAACAGAACTAAAAATCTCTGTTATTCAAAAGTTTACATTGTGGTTCGGGATAGAGAGCAAGTAACTTTCTTATTTTGTTTAGAAATCGGAGCCATAGAAAGAATAATATCCTACAAGGCCCTAGGCATTATCGTTTGGGTCCCCCCTTCATTCCTGACATATGGATGGTTAGTAAGACCCAGCAAAGTCATGGTTCTGGAAGCCCTGTCTAACCATAAGCAGTATGCAGCCACCTAAGGTCACCTTATGGGTAATGTTGCTCTGAGTGGGGCTGTAATATACAATGTAGCATACTGAGTGTAGTGTTAGGTTGAGAGGTGGGTAATATTGTACATAATCTAGAATTCAATAGACTGAGATTGACCTTGCTCGTGGCTATAAGAGTGTTTAATGGCAAAGGAGCGGCTCTAATTTCAGACAGAGAAATTCAGTGTTTTGCACAGAGAGATCAGTGATATCGGCCTGTCCTTCTCTGACAAATGGGCCTGTCCCAGCTTGCAGGTCTCTGCGTGCTGCAGGAAAGAATGTTATTTTTCTTTGTACACAAATAGTAACTTCTTTCTTCACCCCCTCTCCACGCCTGATATATCGGTCATGAACTGGATAAACTGACTCTGAAACCCATATCCTTTCAGAGCCCCAGGTGTAACGTGCTCATATAGCTATGCACGCAAAAAAACAAACCAAAAAAAAGAATTGTGAAAAAATATCAGGCGTGCCCAGAGGAGGGCGCCACAAACGAGCCTGGCAAGACTCACAGACTAACCCACCCATTCCCCGAACACAATGACAAATGTACACAAAGGATTATTCGTAGGCAAATCCAGCCATAGGCAAACACAGGACCAAACAGACAAAAGAATAAGAAGACAACCTTTTCTGCGATTTGTAACCCTTTATTGCCTAGTAATTGTTGCGTTTGATTACGTGCACCACTGCAAGGGTTAAAAAAGAAAATGACCTTTTATCCCACGGAGCGCTGTTTTTGCGGCGGTCACCCCGCCTCCTTGGCTGAGATCGTCAATGCTGATGTTCTCAACCAATCCAATGCTCTCCATAGAGAAGTACTGGTAGACTAGTGCACAGGAACAGCAAACTGCCATTCTGTGGCAGTCAAATTCTCTCTATGAGCAGCATTTGATTGAGAACCAAGTCTGATTCAGTTCTCACAGGGGAAGTTCTCAGGGAAACAACCGCTAGTGGTGTATTTATCCCTGCAATCAGAACATTGCCACCCCTACAAAACTGCAATGTTATACACTGCAGTGTTAAAACATCAGGGCCATGGAAACTAGACCACTTCATTGAGATGAAGTGGTTTGGGTGCCTTAAGTAACTGGGTTGTAACTGAAGTTATCTGGGTGCTTTAAATAACCCTGTACATGTATCAGACTTAGCCAATGTCTATTAGTCCATGTGATTCAAACTTAAGATTCGGTTTAGTTTTTTCCATATAAGTAATATAATTTGGTGGGATATTAATCTTTACCTGTCTGACTAGCAACTTTTTCTTCAAACAACTATTGACTGACTTTTTCACTGCTACGGCCGCTATGGAAGGGAAGAGGCATTATCCAGTCATCGCATTTGGCAAATTAAATCATAAAACTGAAAAACCACAGCTGCTACATAACCTCTTTGAAAATATCTGACATCCAGCGCATGCACACCACCTTATTTTATTTTTCCAAGGTATAGATGAAGTATTGGTTAAATAGACTCAGGATTATATTTTAATGTTGTTCTAACACCAAATAAATACACAGTTAAATATAAAGATTAATAATGTGTCTACATCAGTAAAACAAAAACTGAATACATGTTCCCCTCTTCCATTTTCTGTCTCTGGCACGGGGGGCGTGCAAGCGGCACATTCACAATGGGCTGTAATATGGTGAATCTTCATGAGTCTGTTGATTACATGGAAAACTCAACGGCATAAATCAAATAATATTTAAATCTATATGAATGAGACGCAAAATGCTTCAAATAACCATAGCAGGGAAAAAATTTTACTTACTCATAGCTATGGATCGGAACATGTTATTTACGCACAGTAACTTTACAGACTAATTTCTAAAGACATATATGAGTTTTAATGAGCACTCCAATCCATATCCACTTCAATGCCCTATAGTTGTTATGGTGCTTGGCGTATTCCTTTAAAAAACCCTTAAGGACAAAACGTCTGGAATAAAAGGGAATCATGACATGTCACACATGTCATGTGTCCTTAAGGGGTTAAAGATATATTGTGAATTGTATAGCTATGAAGTTAAGTTATACACATTAACATTCAGAATTCTAGAATTTCGAAAAATTAAAAAAAACAAGAACATTTAAGCTGCATTGTAAAAAGGTAAAATGAGTGGTTGCTCAAAAAAATAAATAAAAAGCATAGACAGGCTTAAATGTATAGCCAATAACAATCATCAATCATATATATTTAAAGATTTAGTTACATTCCTCTTCACCCAAGAGAAAGACCAGTTGCACG